AAGGTTAAAGAGAAACCAAAGAGAGGCAGTTGAAAGCCACAGAATAGAATTTCTTGCCGGGAATAACATAATGTGTTATTATTGATCAGTCATACTCATTTCGAGAATGAAAAGAAATAAAGCTGAGAGACAAACTAGCATCCTGTCATTGTCACACACCCTAGATACCACATCCTAGATACGGATACCTATGTCAAATATATGTGTGTACAGATTTAGACATAATATGCCTCTTCAGATTCCTTCCTGTTGACAATATGAAACCCCTCTCTATTTTGTTCAGTGTCATCATTCCCATTTATTTACAGTTTTGTATAATAGAGCACAAAAAGACCCAACCCACCATCAGTTTGATTTAACTGATCGATCACATTTGACCCACATATATTCTCAAACTTCTTATATAGTATGAACCAAAATATATATAGAGAGTCGTATTTATCATTATTATTGTGTTTGATCCGTCTAAAACACTCTTGTCTGCTGGGATACGAAATAGGTAAAATCTTTATCTGATGCATATTAACAAATCCATACGAAAATGTCATGTTCATGAATAGTGCAGCTTGCTATCATCCGCTCTGATAGATACCTAATTTGTTACGAAATTTCCAATAAAAATTTATGTATGCCTTTACTGCATCATTGACTAGTTTACAACAGTTTCTTTACATGGGATACTTTTGGTTCATAATCTTCTAATAACCAGAGCATAATATTAATTATCTGCAAGAAATGTACGCGTGTACTATGTATATATTCCAGACTAATTCAAAAGTCCTGAGAATTTCTCCAAGAAAGTATATATACTGAAGTTTTAAATTTCCCGTACTTTGTTTCTGTGTGTACGTAGACAGACAAAGCTTCATTATTAGCAGAAGTAATCCAGCATGTGAAGGAGCTGAAGCGTCAAACTTCAATAATAGCAGAAACAAGCCCAGTGCCGACAGAAACCGACGAGTTGACGGTGGACGACGCTTCCGATGAGGAGGGCAGGTTCGTGATCAAAGCCTCGCTTTGCTGCGAAGACAGGTCCGATCTCTTGCCGGACCTCATCAAGACGTTGAAGGCCCTCAGGTTGAGAACCGTGAAGGCAGAGATCACCACGCTCGGCGGACGCGTTAGAACGTCTTGTTCGTCACCGGCGAAGAAGAAGATCAGCTCAGTGGCGGTGGCGAGGAGCAGGGACAGCATCAGCATTGTATAAGCTCCATCCAAGAGGCTTTGAAGGCAGTGATGGAGAAGAATGGTGGTGGTGATGAGAATGGGAATGTAAGAGGCAAAGAACTAATAATAATATCAATATCCTCGAACAAAACAGGTCTTTATGATTAGGTTTTCGACTTCCTTTACCATCTTTGTTAACTGATTTGCCTCTTATATCATGGCTAATATTCTTTTTATCTTCCTTGGGGTGTGCTTTAATTACTGGTTTTGATAGTGTGCTGGAAAATATCGTTCTAAATATTACGTAACATATATAATGTATCTTCTTCTAGGCTGTTCTTTCTTTGTCATCATCGTCATGCAGTGAAGCAGTAGTGTTAATGTGGCTTCTGTCATGACCAGTGTCATTGCTTGAGTTCAGAGAGAAAATGGGGTCCATAAATATTTCATAACTATTCATTATTATATGCAGTGGAATTTATTTTGAGGGGCAATCCCTGGAGATACAGTAACTTAATGCTTCAGTCTTGTATATTCTGGGGGGACCTTGTTGACCCTGACACTACCTTTAATTTGCTTTCTCCTGTTACGAGCTTAAGCATATATATCCAGTGTGCAGCACTGACACCGTGAGTACTGTTGAAGTAAGCTTCTGAACCACTTAAAAACATTTATCATAGTATAATTCTTAGCATGGGAATGGAAGATCAAATCGAACATGATGAAATGAAGGTTTCTTATAGTTCATTGGCCGAATATTTTAAGCAGTCTCTAAATTAAAAGTGATATATATATATATATAAACTCATCATCATAATCCAAATCTTGTGAGACAAAAATATTTTGTCTGATATACTGTCATGTTTTTTGGGGAGAAAGAGGGAAGGGATCTTTTTCGTGAGAAGAGAAACCTTAGATAAAGTCCCAACATAGAAAATGAAGTATTGATGGCTCCGTGAAACCGATCGAACCCATATGTGTGTGTGTGTGTGTGTGTGTGTTGCAGCTTGGGCTACCAACAGCTCTATCCTTTTTGTTCTGTAATACTATAATGAACACCTCTCTCTCTCTCTCTCGCGTACTATATTGCATGGCATTTATGTATGTGTGTTCCCATGTGGGAAGGTGACGAATGAGTTATCGTCATGGACGGTCTGTGTACGTTGTCACCACAGGGATAGGGGCCCCACTCATATGGGAAATTGAATCGCCACCTTCCATCACACCATTAACCTTAGGGTTCAATTCGATCGTACGAATTGGTAGTCCAAATTCTTAGGCTTACCCTGCATGATGAAGCATCTACCTCCCTTGTTCTTTCTGTTCACACAATAATAAATATCTGAACATTAGAGACAAAATCATGAGACTGCATCTTCCTCAGTGTCACGAGATCAAAGGTGATCGACGACGCAATTTATACATGCGTACATATATAGTATATATTTGATTAGGATTTTAGGTCCATTGTATGACAAAAAAATTAAAATAGAATTACTTAGCTTGTTCATAATATATATATATGCAGATCAAAACGATATGTCTGCTTCTGATCCTGTTAATAAATCTGTCACTGACATTTGGGAAAAAAAGTACTACGTTAACATTTTATGCGTGCGCAAATTCTTTTTTTCATATGAAAGCATATGATTTATATATGTTTGGTTCTGATCATAGAACCATTAATCTTCTACAAGATGAGGTGGTGGCCGGAACCCTATCGGTATGCTGCAAGAAATCCGATGTTTTATGGATATTATCGGAGAAAGCTGATGGAGTAGTGAAGATTGGATTGTTATAATTACTGATAGATTCACTTTAGAAGCTTCAGATTGGAACAAACAAAAGGTGGGCATATTCCTCAGAGAAAGAAGGAAGTTACTGAGAAAGATTAGAGGGTGCTGACATTGCAACCAGAAATACAGGTATAAGAAGTCATAATAGTCGCTCCCGTAGTAAATATTAGAATTAATTAACTAATTTATAAAAATTGAAAAAAATTAGTTATGTTAGTTATTTGTATAAAATATGATATGTTAATTTTCCTGAAGTATCTGCATAGTTATTTGCATTGAAAATTACCTCTTAATCCATACCTCTCAATATGTGTGAGGAAAATTTGGAAAAATGATTATAAATTTAAGAGACAAATAGATCAAGGTCTTATATTTAGAGTAAAAAAAATCTTCTATTAGCTCTTGTATTTAATAAATGTAGTAGAAGGTAACCTGACTCTCTTTTGTGTGTGTGTGTGTTTGTGTTTTTGGAGTTGTTTGCTTATGGTAGCGTCAGTTTTATTTTTTGCAAAAAAAAAAAAATCAAATCAGTAATAAAATTGATGATCTCATATTGATCGGATCAGTTGAATTTATAAGCTGCCTTCATTGCTTAAACAATAAAGTTAAGAATTTCCGGTTAATATATTATTCGTCCAGTAAATTAAAGCCAAAAGAAAACGACATCCGGAGAAAATTTCATCATGCTCCTTTCTCAAACTATTCTACAATTTTTATAATAAAATTATAATACCCGTGAATGTGATATTAAAAATCATAATAATACTGTAGAATAATTTTTTGAGAGAATGGCAACAAGGTCTCAAAGAATGAACATATTCACAAAAGAATCTTATAAAAACTGAGTAACTTATAATGATAAGTTTCAAAATAGGAAATAATAACAAGTTTTAACTACTCACTTGTTATTGAAAATTTTTAATAATTATCTTTCTTTTTATACCTCATAGCAATTCTCCCTAATTTTTTTATTATAACTTTTTCTAGTTAAATTAAATATTTTTTTTGCGTACATACAAAGTTTTTTTTATCATAATTTTTTTTTGTTAGACAATTCTATTTGATGTACTATTTTTTATTAGATATATGTACATCTTCTAATGAGAATTTGAACTCTTTTTTTTTTGGGTACAAAGAGAGGGTTGAAACAGACAAAGGCAAAAAAAATTTATGTGCATTAGGCATTTTTCCTCTTTTTGGGCTAAGATGTTGGGCTATTGGATTGTCTAAAGATTATTGGATCCGAAGTGAGATGTAGTTCAGTGAGCCCATTTGGGAGATTGGTACGAAAGAGAAATGGAGAGATCCAGTGACAAAACGCACATCAAAAGGGAGCCATGCAGGTAAACTATGAAAGTTGCCATCATTTGTTGAAAAAATAATCTTGAGTAATTTTCATAATATTAATAGAAACTCTGTTAGGTCCTAAATGTATATAGGATGGAGCTAGTTAGAGAATTAGTTCAAACACATCCTAAAACCTGGCTCGATCTTATTATTTTTTAACTAAATTTGTATGCACTCTGATCGAAAATAATCTTGTTTGAAGTATTGTCAAAATTAAATATAGGCACCTCTTTTCACAGAAATTTAAACTTTAATTTACCATATTATGAGGAGCGGGCTTTTCCCGTCCATATTAGTTGCTTAATCTTTTTTCCTAAAAAGAAAGAAAAAGGCTTTTAAGGCTGTTCCGACCCAACTATTTGTTTTAGTTTGCTTGCCTATGCTGTCGGTGGAAGCATTTGCCTGTTTGCTTTGTCCCTCTTCTTTTGGGTGGCGGACCCGCCGGGGAGAGAGAATTACCATAAAATCTCAATAAAAAATAATTATTAAATTTTTTTAATAAAAAGTAAGAAATTGTTAATTTTTATACTAAAATTTATCATGTCAAGCTATTATTATTGGGACATTTTAATAAAGAAATCGTTTTTGACCTTTTTAATAAAGAAATCGTTGAAGCAATGAAATCCTAATATTAATGAGTCAAATTTAGAAATAAAAATTGAAACATAAGTAAAAACAGTAGAAAATGAGAAAAGAAAGGTAAACAGACCATCATTACACGGCATGTCTATTTTTTTTTTTTTGGATTACTCCATCCGGTATCCGAGGGAAATAGGCGTCTTTCAGCCGTGACAACGTCCCCAGACTAATCCGGATTCGGGGGCTTGCAAGGATCCATACAGACGGCGCCCTCTGGCCCTTTGGAGTGCTGCGTTCCCACATCTTGAACCCGAGATCCGTGGTTAAGCTAGGACGACCCCAGCCAGTCGACCTATCCCGCGGGGTTCCACGGCATGTCTATTTTAAACTCTATTGTATGCCGTATCTTCTTTTCTTTCTTCTTTTCTTTTCTTTTTTTAATATTAGGCACTTGGCTTCCTCCAATTCTGAGCTTACTCGTTAGTCATTATCTTCTGGGCCGTCAACATTTCTCCTTCCCCTTAATTTATTGTAATGCGCTGCCCACTTAACGCTTTAAGACTAATAATGCCTCATCTGTTCAATATTTTCGTGACATTCCCCCTAACCCCATTTGTTCGTTAATTTTTTAAATAATGTCACCTTGTTGTCTGAAAAAAAAAAAAAAGAAGCTAAGGTGATTTCTTTTTGGAAAACTTATTTTATCATGTCTTAAGAAATGTTGTAAAATTATTTTTTGCTGAAAAGAAATTTTATAAACCGAAATCATCCAATAAAGTTAGAGAACAAAACAACATATCTTAGATTAAAACACAAACCAACATACTCCCATCCTACTTTCTTCAGTCAAAACCCCATCTTCAGTGTCTCCATTCAATAGCTTTAACAAAAGAAGTTATGTATATTTTTTTAAAAAAAAACACCTCCTTAATAGTAGTCTTAGCCAGCAGCAACTAAATTTCAATCTAATCAAATTAGTTAAATGTGTCACTTTTCTTATAATTAACTAACTTTTTTAATCTAATCAAATTTGTTAAATGAATATTATATTAAGAACAAGAGGAGTATATTTTGGAAAAAAAAAAAACTCCTTAATAGTAGTTTTAGCCAGCAGCAGCTGAGTTTCAATGGGAATCCAGAGCATGATTCCTGATAAGTTTTTTTTTTTTTTAAAGTATTTTTAATCAAGATGTCACATCTCCAACTACAAGTCATCATGACAACCTTATGGGTGTAGGGCACATATTATTGATTATTGGATTAAAAACACACTTTTTTTTTTCAGTTCGTTATAAACAAAATCCTAAAATGCTTCTTCCATTACCATTGCTTTTGCCAGAAGAATGGATGCTGCCTTGCATTTCCTCACAAAATTATCCAACAATCAATCGAAAGAATTCCTTAACACAAAACTCACACAGCAGCTTGTAATACGAAAACTACCCA